AGAAAGAAAGAAAGAAAGAAAGAAAGAAAGAAAGAAAGAAAGAAAGAAAGAGAAAGAAAGAAAGAAAGAAAGAAAGAGACAGAGATACCTGTTTAAAAGAAAATAGAAAAATGGCTCTTTGAGGTTTTAAGGTTGCAGACCCCTGGGTTAGGCAAACACCATGGTAGTGAACCTTGTGGTCATTAAGCAATCACTGGTTGTTAAACAAGTCCATTTTCCTCAGTGGGCATTTTTAACTGGAAACCAGAAGGAATTGTTGGAAATTGGCAACAAACATAGAAAACCTCAGTCATAAGACTGTGTGAGATGTTGTAACTGGTCATAAGTGTGTGTTTGTATGTATAGCTGTCAAAACGTCAAAAACAGGTCAAGTAGCTCTGGGGAGGTAAGTCATAAATTAGAACACTTGCTAAACAACTGGCCATTAAGCAAGGACCACTTATATTTGGTTTGCCAGTCACATGGCCACCCAGCTAAGCCCACCCAGTCACATGACCACCTAGCCACGCCCAGTCAGCAAGCCATGCCCACCCAGTCACATGACCAAGCCACACCCACAGATTAGGCCACGCCCACGGAACTGGTGGTTAAGAAATTTGAATCCCACCCCTGGATTCATCTGTGTAGTTTTCTTGGCAACAGTAAGGAAGCATTTTATCATTGCTTCCTGAAATGCTTAATTTTCTCTTCTAGTCTTTGGCCCCAAATTAACTTGGTGATTTCCCATCTATTAATCAGTGAAAGTTGTCCAGGTGATGCTATTTTCTGAAGCTTTTTAATTTGGATGGAACTTAAACTGATCTTGAAACAGCAGTTAAAATGATAGATTTTATCACTAAAAATTAACATAAAACTATAAAGTAGAATTAAAAACATGGACTGTTGCTTGATTCTAAGCAGCAGCATTTTCTGCATGGGCACTTTTCTGACTTTAGCTTTTCAATTCTGTAAAGAACAAAGACTCACTTGATTCAGAAATGGAAGTTCTTTGCCCATTTTTTCCCACAGCATGTGGGGTTTTTTTTAACATATAGACTTGTTTTCCCACTCAAGGTCTCATCATGTTTAACAACTCTGGGCATTTTGCTTAATTTAGAGTTAGGGAGGTATCCAGTTTACATGTGTATTTGCTGACCCTTTTTTCCACCGCTTCTTTCAACACGATGTATGAGTTTCCTTTTATGTACTGATTATTGCTGAACTTCTCTTGCCCTTCACAGACTTATCACCTGGAACTGTATGTTTGAAACTGTTTTCTGGAGATTTAATGATAGCTGAATCAAACATCAATTACTATACTGACATGGAAGAAATTAGCAACTTGTTGTCTACTGCAGCAAATCCAGTGGAATTCATGTGTCAGGTGAAATTTAATTTTAATGGGGCATTTTAAGTAAATAACCTCCCTGCTTTAGGAAGGGGGGGGGAACAAGAGAGAGCTTGTTATATCATTTAGATCAGGGGTGTCCAACCTTGGCAACTTTAAGACTTGTGGACTTCAACTCCCAGAATTCCTCAGCCAGCAAAGCTGGAGTTGAAGTCCACAAGTCTTAAAGTTGCCAAGGTTGGACACCCCTGATTTAGATAGTAGAAAGATAGGACCAACTGTAAACTTGAGGCATGAGTAAGTAGCAGAAGCATCTTTTGAGAAATAAATAAGTGGAGGATTCAGGAAACTTGTTTCTTGCTAAAATATATAGTGTGTTTATTAGAAAAAAGATATTTTTAATTGTATGGTTTTGTTTAATTGTGATAATCTGGAAACCTCAAGGAGACTATTAAAGATAATCTGGCTCTACACCATATAGGGCTATATTGGTAACAACCAGCATCTTGAATTGTGCCTGGAAGTTCACAGTTAACCAGTATAATTTATGCAGTAGTGGTGTCACAGGGGCATTCTGAAGCCTACTTGACACTACCTGCACTACTGCATTCTGTACCTGCAGTATCTTCCAACTGGTTTGGTCGAAGAGTACATTACAATAGTCCAACCATAAGGTGACCAATAGTGCATGAGTGACAGTTCTTGCTTACATCTACAGCATTTTTCTTTTTAGAAAGAAAAGCTGTTTCAATTGCATGAGTTTCTCTCTGACTTTAATGGATTGGTGTGTACGCAAGTGGGCATTTATGGCAGTGGCATGATTTTGGGATCAGAACCAGACCTCTGAGCTCCTTCGTTTGAGGGGAATGTGAAGATCCACAACTGATAAATCCATTTTTTCAGAACATGATAGTTTCTCAAATTTGTATGCTTGCCTTTGGACAGGGAAGTGGTAATTAGCATGACTCTGGGCATGCATTATTCTTCTCAGTATTCAATATCCCTGATTTAAGTTTCCTAAATTCAAACAAAGAATAAAGGAAGGGGACTTCAGACATGAACATTTTTAATTTCATGTAGCTTGAGATGTAAATATATAAGAACCTCTACAACAGGCTTGTCCAACCCGCGGCCCATGGGCCGCATGCGGCCCAAGTCAGCTGGTAATGCGGCCCAGTGCCCACCCCAACCTTCGTGCAAGAGGACGAGCCAGTGAGGAGGAGGAGGAGAGGCAGGCGCGAGGCGGGGCGAGGCGAGCGCCACGCCAAGCAGCAACAGAAAAGGCAGGTGCCGTCAGAGCCAAAATATCTGATGAGCACCTTGAGCACTCACTGAGAATTGCAACAAGTTCCATCGAAGCAAATATGGATGCATTGGTGGCTGAGAAACAATGTCAAACATCTCACTAACTTCATTTCCAAATAAATTTAATATGTTAACTATGTTTTCTATGTTTTTTTTGGATGATCAGGTATCGTTACTGTTATTTTATTTTATGTGCGGCCCAAACCAAATTTTCATCTTCTAATGTGGCCCAGGGAAGGTGAAAGGTTGGACAAGCCTGCTCTACAACATAGCTGCATTTCTGTAGTAATGTTGTTAGAAGCTGTATATTAAAATATAGGTAGTTCTTGACTTATAACCACAATTGAGCCGAAAGTTTCTGTTGCTAAGTGAGTTTTGCCCCATTTTATGACCTTTCTTGCCACAGTTGTTATGTTAACCACAGTGGTGGGATTCATTTTTTTTTTACTACCGTTTTGTGGGCGTGGCTTGATGGGTGTGGCAGGGGAAGGCTACTGTAAAATCTCCAGTCAGAGGTGGTGTTTGCCGATTCTCCGAACTACTCAAAATTTCCGCTACCGGTTCTCCAGAATTGGTCAGAACCTGCTGAATCCCACCCTTGGAACCACTGTAATTGATAAGTTAGTAACCCAGTTGTTAGATGAATCTGGCTTCCCCATTAAATTTGCTTGTCAAAAGGCTGCAAAAGGTGATCATATGACCTTGGCACACAGTAATGGTCATATGTATGAATCAGTTGCCAAGCATTTGAATTTTGATCACATGATCATGGGGATGCTACCAAGATTGTAACTGTGAAAAATGGTCATAAGTCACTTTTTTCAGTGCCATTGTAATTTTGAATGGTCACTAAATGAACTGTTTGTAAATCAAGGACTACCTGTATTACTATATTTACTTTTCCCATATTTATTACCTGATGACTTCTAAATGTTTGGTAGTTTGGTAGGTATATATACAAAAATTGTATATATATGTAGCATAAGAACATTCATTTTCATATCAGCCATCAGTTGACTGCCACTGTCTAAATATGCAACATTGCTTTTAGTATTACTACAAACTTATTTTATTTATCAAATTTAGGGATCACCCATGTCAGCTGCTCATCTTCGCCTTCTTTGAAGCTCACTAGCAACTGCCATAACTAGGGGGAAGGGAGCATCCGGGAGGGGATGTGTGCTGGTGGTGTGAAAGAATGCTATCGGAGTATGGACACTAACAGGAATCAGGGGTGCCAAACAGAGCCATTTGCCAAGCTTCAAGGATGCCAGTCCTGGGAAAGGAATTTACACAGGCATTTGAGGCACCAATTTCCCAAAACATCAGAATGAGACCTGATTGGACTGCTCTTCCGGGGGGGGGTGTTGGACATTGGGGATTGCTTTCAATATACAATTTTTGCATGGTTTTTCCTTAGACCTTGCCTCATCCATGCTGCACTCAGTATTTCTAGTTAAAGTACCTTTTCCCTAAACCTATGTAGTCAAGGATTATTCCTTCTTAGGGAGCAGCGAGAGCCAGTAGCACCTAAGTGACTCTGGGCTGCCATATAAACCATATAAAACCATACAATTAAAATAAAATCCAAATAGGATGAGAAACAAGTAAAACAAAGATTAAATTGGAGGGAGTACCCTTAAGTCACCAAATCCTCCCCCACCTTAGAGGCATGCCACTTTTCAACCCCCAGGCAAGTTGGCAGAGACAGGTTTTCTTACTTTTTGGAAGGCCAAGAGACTGGATGCCAATTTCATCTCTGGATGGAGGATGTTTTATAGGTCATGGAGAAGGCTCTCTGAAGTGAAGGCTCTCTTTCTAGATCCTGTCAGTCAAAATTCTTCAACTAACATGGCATACCCATTTTGCCTGATAGGGTAGAGTGAGTCAATGTAATTGGAAAAAGATGCTTCTTCAGGTAATCAGCAAATAAGCACTCAATGCAGTTCATGCAACAAAGGTTTTACGGTCTCAGTCCTTGGGACATCCAGAATTGCCTGCATAGCCACATTCTGTGCCGACTCCACCTTCTGGATACTCCTCAAGGGTAGCCCTATGTGGAGCCCTATGCAATAGTCCTTCAGAGGATGATCAGGGCATGAATGATTGAGAGAAGGGCCTCCGATATAGGAAGGGGTGCAATTGGTGCACAACACAAAGTTGAGCAAAAGCCTTCCTAGCCGTGACTGCTGTCTACTCCTTGAGCAGGAGTTGTAAATCCAGGTTTTCCCTCAGATTATCTACTGGATCTATCTGCGGCAGGGCAACTCCATCCAAGACCAAAAATGATAAATCCCCCAGATATGATAACCATCTTACCAGGGTTCAGTTGAAGCCTGTTCTCCATCCAGCCTTCCACAGCCTCCAAGCACCATGTCAGAATATCCACAACATCATTTAATTTACTCAGGTAAATTAAGCTGAGTACAGCATGGTGATAGATGATCATTTTGTTTTAATATTATTAAATGCTAATAATTTCTTCCATTTTTAAAGTCACAGACAAATTCTGAATACATTGAACCAGTACAGGGTATACATAATTGGTGATTGTTCTCTTCTTACATCCAGGCATTTAAGATTGTACCTTATAGCACAGAAGCTCTGGACAAAATTCTCACAGAATCATTGAAAAAAAACCTTCCTGCCAGTGGTTTGCACCTCTTAGGAATCAACCAATTGGAAGAAGAAAATATTACTAGTGAGTATAATTGTGATTTGGAGAAAAAAGCCTATATGAATTATTCTATACTAAATTCAAGTGCTACTATGTTATGCAAAAGCATATGTTATATGAAAGAGTTGGGCATGTGTGACTGTCTTGCACAATCCAAGCAACTAGAGCAACTAGCAGAGTTCCAAGCCAATTCCTAAAATGCATATTTTAAGAAACTAAAGAGAGATGTGTGTCATCTCTCAAAACGATTCTAGCTGAAGCCATATTTTTCTTGCTTCGTGTCTTAGTTGCCATACAGTACTTATGGGGGGGAGGGGACTTATGGAATGTAGAATGTTTTTCTCTAATGTGCTAGACTTAACAACAATAAGGCGCCTGAAAACCAAGGCTAAATCAGCATGGCCTAGCAACGGCAGGGGGGAGTGCTGAGAAGTTCATCACCTGCTTGGTGACCTCTGACACAAGGGGGGTGGACAGCAGCTGTCCTTTATACCAAAAATGTAGGAAATATTCAGTGTTGGTTTCACCTTTGACCGTGCCTATGATGTACCCAATGAACCAGATTTTTGAGGAAACCAAGGCCTTAGAGTCTTGAATTGGTTAAGAGCATTACTCGGAACCATGACAATGTGGACAGAATACTGGTTCTATTACTGAAGTATTCTTTTAAGAAAAAGCGTAGCTCAGAAATAATGCCCTTATTTATTGATTGCTGTTTATTTATTTAAAAATTCATACTTTAATAGACAAGTTTAATTATTGTAATAAAAGGTAGCAGAAAAAAAAGTTTCACATTTTTTATTTATAGATTTTTTTTTTATCCCTCCTTTATTATTTCTATAAATAACTCAAAGTGGTGAATATATCTAATATTCTTTCCTCCACCAATTTTCCCCACAACAACAACCCTGTGACATGATTTGGTCTGAAAGAGAGCAACTGACCCAAGTCACCCATGCCAATATATCAGTTGCCAGCTTTGTACATCAACACATGACTCATTTTATATTTAAGAACTGATTTAATGTACAATACTCTTGTATGTTGCATGTTGCATTCTAGAAAGTGCTTTATCAGATCTTGCAGAGTAGCCGTGACCCCCACCTCCCCAAAAATGCCACATGACCTGGGTTGGCAGTCCTATGCTTACAGGGAGTCTACAGGACAAGCCAATAGTCCGCACATGATAAACAAAAGTTGAAATTAGATTTAGGCTTTTTCCATTATTTAATTTGTCACCGGTGGCATAGCTCTATAAGAAATTACATTTTCCTCCTTTTTCTTTCAGGTCAAAGAGATGAAGAGCTACCAACTCTGCTGCACTTTGCTGCAAAATATGGTTTAAAAAATCTCACAGCCCTGTTGCTTACATGCCCAGGAGCTCTGCAGGCGTATAGTGTTGCCAACAAGTATGGTCACTATCCTAACAACATTGCTGAAAAGCATGGCTTCAAAGATCTCCGCCAATTCATTGATGAATATGTGGTAAAAATATTTTTTCTCTCCGTTATAATGGGAAAAAAGTACTGTAATTTAACAGTTCATAACTCACATAGAAACAATAGATTTGAAGGTTTCAGTGATATATGTGTGGTCTTATTCCACAATAATAAACATGTGAATGATATTTAGTGTTCCAGAAGATGAAGGGGCTATTCTTGTAGTGAAATAATAATTTGAAAGACAGATTTTAAGGAGTCCTCACCATTAATCTAAATGGAATTTTTGAATTAGATCTGGAGATATTTGATACTTTGGTTTTCACATACGAAAAAATCTGCATGGGTTATATTAGATTCTAAAGGATCACAGAGGAATTGAAGTATGCACAATCACTGTGGGTTATATATAGCTACATTGCAGATATCAACTAGTATCTTTTTAAAAAGGAGTAGAACTGGAAGACACAGTTTTGTTGAACTTTCCTTGGATTCTTGTAACCAAAATATTCTGAAGATGTAATGTGCAATATATAATAAACTTTCTTAATTAAAATATTACATTTAGAAAGAAAAAAATCTAGGACAGCTATATAATATGGGAATACATGACTTGTTAATACATTAGAGAAGGACTTTGAGGTGATCACTGACAACAAGCTGAATGATAAATATCAGAGAACTGAGCCTTGTATTTCCAAATAGATATTAGATTAGAGAAAGTTCAGAGGAAAATAGTGAAGAAGATACAAGTACTTAAAGAGATGCCCTAAGTTGATAGGCTGAAGGAACTAGAGATGTTCAGTCTGGAAGAAATGAGAATGAATGGAGTTATGATAGCTGTGTTCAGGTATATAAGGAGAAGTTACAGGGAAGATGGTCC